ATCGAATTGGTTAGGGGCGATAAAATGGGATTGGGATTAGGATTAGGGTTGCGATAAAAAATGGGATTGGGTTTAGGAATGGGGGGTTTAGGATAGTATGCTTTAGTAGGTTGTACGTAGAGCAATGGAAGTTGTTTTTAAGAGTTTAAGAGTTTTAGCCAAATGAACACGAACACAAAAAATTTTGTTCGTTTACTGTTCGTGTTTGTTCGTTTGTTCGGTTAAGTTAAACGAACGAACATGAACAACCCTCCGTTCGTATTCGTTCGGTTCATTTACAACCCTAAGTGTGGCTAACAAAGGAGAAGCAGTGATGAATCATGCTTTTTCAACCAACCAACCAGCTAGTCGACCTGAATGGACCAAGGCTCTTTAATTTAGTAAAATGAAATTATTTGAAAATTCTGCAAGCTAAAAAATTAGGACCACAAGCAGGCAAAGTTAAGTGCACAATAAGTTCAAAGTATCACTTTTGTCCCCACATCTCCATCTCCCAACCACATACCTTTATTCCCATTAATCCATTGCATCAAGTATATGTTAGACACCAGTAAGGTGTACATATCCTTACAGTAAGAAACTATGGGTTTTAATTTAATGTTTTTACCAGGATTACACTACTACTTTTGCTTCAGGCCTTCAATGATGCTGCCTCTTTAGATTGTTGTTTCAAGGGTGGTAGCAGTACAATATTCCAACAATGTATTTTCAAACAAATCTAGGAAATAGAGAAGCTCAACTTTGAATTATCCTTACACCTCAGATACAACATTACAGGGCCCCAGATACAGCATTCCAATTGAAATGTTTACAGCAAGTAAAATGAAGAAAGTCTTTTTCAACATTGTCCACGGGATCTTCTACTCTTATTCAGAGTTCCAACTCCTATGTGACTCAGTTTACTCAATCTGCTGCTGCTTTTAGTCAATTTCGTGAACCTTACGAGAGCACCTCTAGTCCCGGTTCTATAGAAGTTAGTTCAGATGTAGTTATTAAATCCAATGGGACAAGTCCCTTGACTTTAGCAGAAGTAACTGAGAAAATTGGCGGTTCACCCAACTTTGAAATTGATCAGGCTTTGCAAAGGATAAGGGAGCAGTTGAGTTTGTTTATTTTCATTACTATGATGCTAGTTTTATCATTTATTTTGGTTTCTATGTACATATGTATACCGGAAAAATCACTTCTACAAATTACTTTCATGCACATATACATACATACATACATACATACATATAGATGAATAGTTACTAAGATGTTCCTCAATTTTTCATCTTTTTTGCGGTTTTCCCTGAACCTGACCCTCATTAAATAGATCTCTATAGTTGTTTCTATGCACATAATTACTTGTATGCACATGTGTATCCTTACACTTTCTGTTTAGTTCTTGAACTAAAAAAAATTAGAAGGATATTGAAAAGAAATTAGTTTACTAAAAACATGCACTTTTGCATAACTTGTATCACCTGACAAGCTCCACATGAAGAGACCAGACTCTAGACCCCACTTACATTATTTTGTCCACATGGAAGTGGAAGGCCAATGCAGATCTAACCCACCCCCACCCCACCCCTCAAAGATTGTGATATGTATATAATGCCAATCCTACTTTCTTGAGTCCTAAAATCAGCCACCAATCCAAATCCCACATTAAGTAATCACATCAAATCCCAATTCTAAACCTCTAGAAATCTTTTCAGCCCAGAAACAGCAGCATTCAATTCTTCCTGCTGTGATTCAGACAAATACCCAAGAAACAGAATAAATAAATACTCAGTTGGGTTCTGCACATTCTCTGTGCAGAGTTTGCTTTACATTTTCTGTGCAGAGTTTGCACATTCTCTGATTCTTGGAGGTTTCTAATGAAGAAAGCATCTAGCTTTGTTTGTTTTCCAGCACTGGAATAGAAACAAAGAAAGCAGTGGTGGTGTAGAAAAAATGTCTACTAAGGTTATGTACAGCCAAAGAGAAGAAGATGAACAAGAGATACAAAAGCAATTAGGATGTATGAATGGCATTTTTCAGCTTTTCGATCGACGTTACCTACTGGGTTCGAATATGTATGCATGGGAAAGAAAGACTGCATACAAAATCTACAACTATGTTTTACTAATTGATAATTAATGCTGCAACTATGATTTAGTAAACCTAAAAAGTCATGGGGTTCAAATCTGTATAAACGTTGCTGGTGCTGTCACACATTGATCCATATATGCACCTTGATTTCTTAACACAGTATGGACTGTAAATAATAGCTAAAATGATCTCATATCTCTGATTGCAAACAACTTGCTTTGCTGCTCAATTCTATTATTGCACATTCTATTGGAGTCAATATCATCTCAAATGTGATTATGCAATTAAGCACCCAGAGGAGGTAAGTTACTATTTGGAATACCTGCTAAATCAGCTTGGTTGAGTAGGCAGTAGCTTAGTATGTTGATCAAAACATATATATAGAGCAATCAAGAAAGAATCTCTTTGTCTACAATCATTGCTTAGGTCTTAACACCCTACCCCATAAATGGACTGGTTATATGCGGTATCATGAAGGCTTAACCATTGTGATGCAATCTTTTTCACTTTTATTCAACTAATCTTAACTCACCTTAATCTTCAACTCAGAATGGCCAGGTTTAATAAATCCTCCAGAAAGAAGTCTTTAGTTTCAGGTTTGCAATATGAACACCCATAACCCATTAGGAAAAAGAGAAAAAAAGTAATCCACCAGGAGGAAAGAAAGTGTCTTGGCGTGATACAACAATAATGTTTACCCGGTCATTAATAAATGTTTTATGCTCTGTAGGCTACAGCAGGTGGTTCTAGGAAGAGGTCATTTTTTCATATCACTCTT